AAACATCACAACAATGATGGGAATACACTTGCAAGCAGACTTGTGCTGTAGTGGCTGCTTGCAAGTGTAATGCCGACTGTCCGCTTTACACTGAAGTGAGGGTGGGCTCTAAATTGCCCAATCACCTTTAAGTGCCCCCCTATCTCGTTAACATCTATCCTATCTATCCTATCTATCCTATCTATCTATTGTTGCATTAAAAAAACATACATTTTGAACTGCAAATTCGGGTATGATTAACCGTTTCATTACACTAGTGTGACATAATAAATTGCAACTACTCCCATTTAATTTTAAAAGGTTTCTGCTTTCAGAAAATATATACTGTAATTCTGAGGGATTTGAAGTAATAGTCTAAAATGTGCATTTCAACTTGTGTGCCAAAGAAAACATTGTTTTGGCAGCTACAGGGTTAAACCACGCTCCGCCCCACCACCTTAAAAAATAAATTAAAAAAATCCCACAATCAGTCATTTGCACTTTAGAACCCCTCCATCTTTCATCTGCAGCACCCTGCTTCCTGCCAGGTTTACAAACTTTCAGCCCATTCACAGTGGAGGAAGAAGAGCTTCCTCTGTTGTGAAGGGGCAAAATGATTGTAAACACTCAATGTTTACACGTGTGATGGCTGTTATTGGTTCACAGTGATCACAAGGTAAAAGCCAATCTGACTTTCTTTTTTATATCTTACAATACCATGGTACGAAGGTGGTTAAATTCTACTTGGCTTAATTTGTGGTTTTGGCAGTGCTCTGTTCTGCCAGGAAATTCCTTGTAGGATCATGGGGTCAAAATGGATGGCACCTTGCTTGGATGAACCTTTCCTAGGTTCTATAATTACATTCATTTTCTTGTTCTGGCTGAATGAGCTGCTTAGAATTGTCATGTACCTGATTGTTAGAATTATGTTATTGCCAGCTAAAAATACTTTGTGTAAGGTCTAATCATTCATGGTTTATAACCTTAGGGCAATCAAAGAAAAAACTTGGAATCGGTCGTGTCTCAGATTGAGAAGGAAAAAATGATGCTTCAACACCGATTGAATGAACACCAAAGAAAGGCAGAACAAGAGAGTGAGAAGAGGAAGAATGTGGAAAATGAAGGCAAGTTACCAATTAGATCTCATTTCAGGAATGTCTCTTGCAGTGATCTAATTACTGGAGACATTGAAAGTTTTAGGAATGCAAGTTCTGTATTGGTGAGGAGCAGGTTAATGTGAGTGATGTGCGGTCTGTGTAACCATGTGGCCTTGATTACTAGTTAGAAAGTCAGGGTTCAAACAGTCATGTTGGTTTGAGTAATGATTGATTTTAGTCCATGTTACTTTTTAAAGGTCTTGCATGAATGATTTGATGACGAGATTACACAATATCTGTTTCGCAGTGCTGTGATTTATTTTGCTTGATTACAACTGTGTGTTTGAAATGATTAAATCATACCTATAAGAAACTGGCATAGAAGGAAGACATCATGAACTTTGCTTGTGGAGATACTGTACATGCTTTCTGTTGATGGATCATATGCTTGGTTTGTAGCCACAATTCAACACTGCCAACCCGCTATGGTAACCTAATAGTAAATGCCTAATAACATAGAAAATGATGTTTTCTTTTTCACCCATAGATTTTTCATATTTTTTCTGAAACTCTGCATTGTTCAAAGCTTACGTTACAAGGCCTGGTATAATTTAATATCACTCGCATTTTTTGAGAATCCTTCGTTCTTATGCCTAGAATTGGAAGAATGATGTAACCTACCCAGCTTGCAATTAATGAATGGCACATTTAGCATTACAGATGGACATATTCCAAGATGACAATGCCAGTTTTCAAATTGTGAAAGAGTGGTTTAGGGAACACGTGACATCATTGTCACACATGGTTTGGCCACCACAGAGTCCAGACCTTAACCCCGTTGAGAATATTTGGGATGTGTTGGAGAAGACTTTACGCAGTGGTCCAAATCTCCCATCATCACTACAAGATCTTGGGGACTTTTCTTTTAGTACTGAACTAACCTTAGAAAGTTACTGATGTTGGCTGAGAAGACCTGGCTCACAATCGGCAATCAAATTCACCCCAAACAGTGAATTTTGGAACAGTGAATCAGTAGGGTTGAGGTCAGGGCTCTGTGTAGTCCACTCCATGTCCTCCATACCAAACTCATCAAACCATTTCTTTGGCCATATACTACAGGGGTCCATGAACCTTTTCATCATAGTGTAGCTTCCTACTCCCCATTCAGACCTGCAAACACAGAATTTGGCAGAGGGGAGTCTTCCAGCACTGACTGCGTTTGCAGCTTTAAGATGTCCTATGACCGAATGGCCAGAGCTGCAAAAGGAAGGTGATGTTGGACATTCCCAAAGAGGTTCCACGTTTTACCATGTCCTTTGGGACCACCCACCAATCAATGACTCACCATGGCACACTTAAGTCCAAAGTATGCCCCTATGATGACCCACTCAGAGCCATTCACAGGCCATTTGCAGGTTGTGTAATGTAGTATACATCTGGGATTGAAACCATTTAGGTAACCATATAGAAGTTAAAATGTGCTAGCTGGCTTTTTTGCATTTGTTAGCAGCCTGGTTAAAGGCACTAAAAAACAAAAGTATAGAAGAGTGCCCTGCCATAGTAGTTCCATTTCTTAAGAACTATCAAATAAAAACAATTGCACTCACAAGTGTAGATCTTTATGTGGCAACAAAAATGCAAAGGGGTATGCGGCGAATCCTGTCTCCTATGAACTAGCTGGGGTTTTCCATAGCTCGAGTGGAATTGGCTATGGAGAGAAATAGTCATGTTTCCAAAAAGGAGGCAGCACCTGTCCCCTCTGTTTCCCCCTAGAGATCGATCTGACGGTTCAGATGTCCACACAAGGTTAACGTAGCTAGGATTGAATTTTGGGGAATCTCAATCCCTTTGTCAGCCCCAATAGTGCAATTGTTTTTTTGATATTTCTTAATAAATTGAACTACTGCACTATGCCAGTGCACTTTTCTATACTTTTGTCTTTAAGTTGCTGATGACGCCCCTTCCTGAGCTTTTGAGAAGAGCAGGCTATCTTTATTACATAATATCCATCTATCTATGTAGCCACTTTTAATACACTGACACAACTGAGTATCATTAATTAGGTGCTTTTTGTATATAATCTGCCTGGTAAAGGCCAGAATTCTCTTTCCTGTCATACAGCGTTGCTCTCCGCTGTTGCTCTCGCTTACAAAGAATCACTTGAATCTTGGTTTTGTTTTCTTTGCCCTGAATTGCCCAGCTTTAACTTGGTCATGGGCATGTAAACAATAACTGGTGGCACTTGCTGGAAAATGGAGTCTAATTGATGTAGTCTGACAATAACCTGACCCTTTAACCATATTTTTTCTTTTATTTGTACAGTGTCTACTTTAAAAGACCAGCTTGAGGATCTCAAGAAAGTTAACCAGACTTCTCACATCACAAATGAAAAAATAACACAACTACAAAAGCAGGTACATGTTTTACTAATTCCTGTTCTTTAAACTGGTGTTTTTTTGTTTTTTAAAGAAGAGCGGTTTGCAGATTTGTTTAGTAAAGTACTTATTCATTTGTTAAGCTGGCTATACACAGTTTTAGGAATACCCATATTTTTCTGTGCATTGCAAGCCTAACTTTGTAACATTTGTCATTGCTCTTTAATAGAGAACTAAAGCCAAAACTTTTTGTTGTCTTTAGTCCTCTTTTGGGTCACAGGAGTACATTTATTAATGTACTCCTGTGACCCAAAGTCAGTATCTAGCAGGCTACTGACCACTATTTGCCGAAATTGTTGCTGCCGGGAAAGATCCTGACAATAATATCTCGCTGCCTGATTGACAGCTGGCTCTGCATTTCTAGATGCAGAGCCAGCTGTGCCCGCCTCCTCCCCTGTCCTTTCCTCTAATAAGTGCTGGAGGAACAGAAAAGGGAGGATGAATCCCTGTGCTGAGTGTTGACTGACAGTCATTGTTCTCTGCAGGGAGACGACTGTGAGCTGAGCGATCAGTGGTTCGCGATCGCTCAGCTTATGATCTATAGAGCCGGCATGTGAAATATGCAGTGTCACATGCGGGCTCCAAGTATTGGGATGAGTACATTTTACTCATCGAGTGCTTATTTAACCACTTCAGGCTCCTGAAGCATTTTTACCAAGAACACAGCTGCTGCTGCAGTTCTCGGTACTGTTGTAAACAGCCGGCGATGGCTGTTTATATGCAAGCGATTTAGTGGCTATACAGCCGCCCAATCGCTTGTATCGTGCAGCGAAGTGTTCCCCACCACTACCACCAGCTACCCCTGGCTCCACTGTCCCCCGTGCAGGCCGTCTAATTCTTTGTACTCTGCTTGCCTTTTTTGGGCACAGCTTCTATAATACAAGTAGAAATTGTTGTCATACAAATTAGTAAGGACATGTTCACACCAGGGTGGTCCGTTGCAGTGTGTTTATTGCACATTAACATTGCTAATTTATTTAATTGATCTGCTGGACACACCAGTGGGCCAAAAATCGCATTTGCAGTACCACAATTCATAGTAGTGCTTTACTGCACCTTGTGGTACGCTGCAACACAGGTGTGTTGGGATACAATTCACAATGGATGGTACCACAGTGCTCCAACGCATGTAATGTGTTACCGCAGCAGAGTGCTTTAAATGGGCCCTAAGAGGACTAAAAATCTGTACTCACTAATATTATGCAATTTCCCTTTGCCATGTTTAGGAATTTAACACATTTCATCAGCATTGTGAACACATTAATTCAGTAAAACCTTCTGGTGTAATATGTTTTTGTATAGTTAAAAAATTTTTTTTTGTTATTTTCCAGTTGGATGAAGCCAATGACTTCCTAAGAGCGGAGTCGGACACAGCTGCAAGGCTGAGAAAGAGTCAAAATGAGATGACCAAGACTATTGCACAACTAGAAGCACTAAACCGGGAACTGCAGGATAGATGTCGACTGTTGGAAAGTGCCAAGTTACAGGTGGAAAAGGATTTCTTCCAGTTACAGGCGGCCTTAGACTCTGAGAGAAGGGACAGAAATCAGGGGTCCGAATTGATTGGGGACCTGCAAGGTAAAAAAACAAAATATATATATACACACACACACGCATGCACGTACAGACTATATAATGCTTCCGATGAAGGTATAAATTGCACATACCTAGTTTTTTCCAACCTTTATCTCTAGAAAGATTCTTTTTTTTTTTTTACCAATTTACTCTATTTTGGTTCTCCACCTTTGAATCCTCTCCTAATATTGTGCCCAAATCTGGCCTCATTCGAGAAGTGGCCTTACAACTGATGACTTTCTTTCTTTAACCTTTAACTTGATCTGTTTGGTAAATCTGCTTTTTTCAGCTGCACGACATAGATTTGTTTGTATCGTCCACTGCTATTAAGCAGATATTTAATAGCTTATAATAACCACTAGTGTTTCACAATAACCGATAATCAAAGGCTAGTTGGCAGCTAATCACATGCTTTCTGCATTTGTGCTGTTTTAATAGGAGTGCTGCATTGTAATGACTAGAATTGCAGATATTTTAAAATGTATTTTATAGAGCTGTTAAAGGGGGATCCTGTTGCAAAATAAAAAGTGGAAAAGATGTTTCCACTATAAAGGGGAGAGATTTTACTTGTCTGTACTACCACCCAATGCCGCCAGTTTCGCTCTCTACCTTGCCTGGAGAATCCTCTCCAAAACACTTTTAGGTTTTTGGATCTCTGGTCCCCTGCCCAGCGCTGTAATTCCTTCTGCTGGCCATCATGTCCCTACTGTGTCCTGTAATGATGTAGGGCCGCTGGAAGGAACCACGGCATTTAACAGGGATCTAGGAATCCAACATTTCCAATCTTAAAGAGAGTGATGATTGGTGGCATGAGTTGAGGGACAGGGTAAATACAATGGAGGGAATTTATCAAAGCAATTGCAACAATTTTAGCCTCTTGGATATTTTTTTTTTTTTTATCTTCAAATCTGTCTTATAATATGTGCGCCTGTTTTGACATGAGTTTGCACTACTTTTTCAATTGCATGGTTTTTTTGCATGGTTTTTTTTGCACGTTTTGTTTTGCACGTTTTTTTTGCACCTGTTTTCATCTGCACTTGTCCTGCTGCTGTCTGAAACTGGAGCATCACCTAACAAAACAATCACAGCGTAAGAAGTCCTCATGACCACTTCTTCAAGAAGCGACAGTTAGCCCTCGTTCACACCTGAACGTTTTGTAGCACGTTCTACGCTCGACGAACGCTCTACAAAACGCTCAAAAATATAAATCCCATTATATTCAATGGTCTCGTTCCCACCTTGGCGTATTTCCGCCCGTCCCTAACGCGCTACAAAACGGCCCACGATTGGAAAGGTACAGGTACTACTTTGGGCCGGTTTGTTGCGCGTTTCCATTGGGATACAGGCAAGTAGCCTTCGGAAACGCGCGATGGTCACGCGACAGATGCTCATATGCAATACGCCTAGGTGTGAACGAGACCTAAGCTTTTTGCCTGGAGTTACGAGTCTTCTTTCCTGGAGTCTATTAAACCTCATTTATGAACAACATTACACTAACAATATAAATCTGGTGCAAAGTGCATCAAATATATTCCGTGCAAGTTCAAACACTCGCAATTGCTATGATAAATTCCCCCCAATATCGCTTCTATTTTAGGAGAACCTTCTTTTCTCCTATAATTATTATTACTAATTTTTGTGACTGGCACTTTAAGGGAAGAATAAAATATCGAAACTTTATTTTTCATAGTAAACAAGACCTGCTGAAAAGTATAATTAGTGTATGTGGGCTAATAACTGAAGAGTGATTGGTAGGCTCTGATAGTCATAAAATTGTGTACTGGTGTTCCTCAGTTTCTGGTATGTTGTCATGAGAACCAAAACATACAAACGGAGATGAATCATTTCATGTCGGCGGTTGCCAAAGCATTTCCTAACTCTGCACACTCGCAACTAACAACTGAAAGGCAAAAATTGTTTAAATGATTGACAGCTTTGCACGTATACATTATTATTTTCGATACTGGCAGGCTTTAAATAGCATGTGATCATAATATGGTAATGTTTACGATACTGACCGTAATTAGAGAATATTAAGAGTCATTTTTACAAGTATGCTTTTAATGTTGTTTGAAAAGATGCTTTCATGTAATTTTAAATAATTTTCTTCTTTTGAAACAGTTCGAATGACATCGCTACAAGAAGAGCTGAAACATCTCAAACACAACCTTGAAAGGGCAGAGTTGAACAGGAAAGAGGCATTGGATCTCTTAAACCATTCTGAAAAAGTAGGTTGTTTGAAGTGATGCGTTCCCTAATTTTTCTGCCCTCCAGTGCACAAATAAAATTTTTAACATAAGATTACTGCACGTTTGAATAACAGTTCTAAGCAACAAACAACAAATAAAATTGCTGAAAAGAAATAAAGTTGCTAAAAAAACAAACTCCTGTAAAATACCTAAATGTGACTTTTAGTCAGGTACTAGAGAGCCCTCCAAAGTGGGATGGTTGGTGCTGCCAGTAGTGGCAGTAGTTCCAGCAAGCTCAGAACTGTCACTGAAATGATACTCTATAGTATTCATCTCCGCTGCTCCCCCGTCAGCTGCATAAAAGGCTATGTAGGGAGGTGACGTGAGGCAGAGGGTTCAGGCCAGCAGAGACAGTAATTATATACTTGAAAGGAGAGGGCTGTAGCTAAGGCAATAACACCTCCTGAAGAGGTCACATTTTCTAGCAAGTTCAAAGGCACAATATAAGTCAATAAATCATTTATGGAAATTAAAACATACTGCACGTAAGCATTTTAAATACTTGATGATTTTCTGTGCCTTATTTTTTTACATTGGTAACAGTCTTTTTTAGCATTATTGGTACATTGTCAAGTGTACTCTTATCCAGTCATGTGTCTTAGGTGTGTTACTTAATGACATGATAATCCCTACAATACTGTCGAGATCCACCCAGCTGGCTGATTGACAGCGGACTCTGCCCATCTAGAGGCAAAGCCAGCTGTGCCCGCCCCCGCTGGAGAATCGCAGAGGTGGTGGTGGTGGAGGCTATTACTCGCTTTATACTCAGAGGGCCACAGCCGGGACGGATCCTGACAATACTGTTGAGATCCACTCAGCTGGCTGATTGACAGCGGGCACTGCCTATCTTGAGGCAGAGCCAGCTGTGCCTGCCCCTGCTGGAGAGAGGAGAGGAGAATCCCTGCAGGGAGCGGTGACTGACAGTCACCCCTCTCTGCAGGGAAATTATCAGGAAGTGAGCGAGTGACGGTATGTGTTCGCCCACTGCCCACTTCCCAATCTATAAAGTGAACGTGTGACAGTTTCATTGTTACAGGTCGGCTCAAACTATGAGAATGAGTGGAAATCACTCACCTCATAGTTCTCCTTTAATCAAATCACAATCACATTATTTTTCCATTTTGTTATTGGGGTTTGTTTTTTTTTGCCAATGGATTATTGAGGATTTCTATTTTCAGTGGAAACCACTCTCTTGAGACCGCAGATTTTGATAACATAATTGGATCTTTTGCTCCTTCAACTATTAGCTTCAGCTGGGGCTTTGAGTTCCAGTTCTTCAATACACTCTAAAGTACCACCTGCAGTTAAAGTGACACTAAAGTCAGAAGTTAAATCTTAAAAATGCATTCAAGTACCTTAACTATTTACTATGTAGATGAAGATCCTCAAATCGTCTCTGAATTGGTGCTGACACTGTCTTTTTTTGTCTGGAGGGTGGCTACTTTTGTTCCCCATGGTCCCTGTGTGTGTTGTACATTAGCCACCGCTCCAAGCTCCCTCCTGTGATGGACTACAATCTCATGTTTAGATAACTAATTTATATTGAGATTGTAGTCTATCACAGGAGTGAGCTTGGAGCGGTGGCTACTTTTCAACACACACAGGGACCATGGGGAACAAAAGTAGCCACTCTCCAGAAGGAAGGACCGTGTCAGCACCAATTCAGAGATTAGTTGAGGATCTACAGTCGAGTGATACACAAATAAGATACATTTCTTTTAATTTTTAAGGTACTTGAATGTATGTCTAAGATTTAACTTTAGTTTAGATTTAGTTTAGTGTCACTTTAAATATTCAGAACCCTTCAGAGAACCATTGTATCTAAATGGTCAGACTTGCTGTAAATAGCTGTTGGAAAGACTGAGAAAAATGCTTAGTTTACGGGGGGTTCCAGACAAAGTGTATTAACTGGCCAGTTAGTTTTGGTTGCTCAAGGTCAGGATTTCAGTAATTTCTAAATGGTAAATTAGGAATACAATTTATGAGGAATAATCTTGTAAATTTGTGCTTTTTTTTTTTTAACAGGAAAAAAATAATTTAGAAATTGAGCTGAACTACCAACTGAAAACTTTGCAGCAACAGTTGGACCAAGAAAGTAATGAACATAAGGTGACAAAAGCACGACTGAGTGACAAGCACCAGTCATTTGAAGAGGAAAAGTCAGTAGCTATGTGTGGTGAGTCCCATTGACTGTTAATTAACCACAATAATATGACCATGACTGCAGTCTTTATATGGGAATTGTTCTCATTTATAACAATTTCATACTTTACAATATCTGTTACTCTTAAAGTGGAACTCCAGCCAAGCCATTGTAGTACTTTTTTTCCCCTTTCTTTGTCAATGTTGTGAAAATTTTCCATCACTTTCCCTCCCAGTGACACCCTGAGAATTGCTGCAAGTATAGCTTCCTCTTAAAGTATATCTATAGTCAATGTTGTATAGAAAGGGGAAAGGTTAGAACCCTTGGCTAGTGATACTGCTAGCCAGCAATCTGTTAGAGAGACCCCCCCCCCCCTCATTTTCTGTTCTGGGGTTCCTTTTTTTTTTTTTTACTAGACAGCAAGTGAAGGAAAATCTGCATAGGGAAATGGTCATCATCATCATGAGATCAAAAGCTGCCAAAGGTTCTAGCTTTCCCCCCACTTAATTAAGCATTTTTACTTGTATCTGTGTGGCTGTTAGGAAGATTTCTCTTTTCTTCCTGTCCTGGGTGCAACCTTTTTAGCATACAGGAAATGAAGGAATCTCTCTAACGATAGTAAAATCTGGCAGGAGTTCTAATATTTCCCCACTCTATCCAAAACCAGGCTATAGGAAAATGACCAGTAGATTCTGTTCTTCCCATTGAATACAGACTTGATTTTCTTATTTTCCTAAATGCTTTCTTTTTTCTTTTTCCTATATTTAAATGAGCCTAGATAATGAGTAGTTATATTGTGAAGTGCATGCTTGAAATAACAGTAGTGTTCTCCTGAAGAAATAAGTAAAGTTTACAGCACAAGAGGCGTAGGGGGTTCTTCTCAGTTAGAGCGGCTAGGGTCTGGAACTCGCTGCCGCAAGCCCTGATTTCAGCTGGGAGAGTTGAATCATTTAAAAAACGTTTGGACGATTTCCTCAGTGACCATATCATACAGGGGTACAGGTACACTTAAAGTGACATTAAACCCTCAGATTTTTTAACATAAACCAATACTGTAATGTGTGCCTTACTGTAATCCATGGTAGTTTCCCTTCTCTTTGCTGCTCTTCCTTTTAAATCTGTATCTGTTCTCATGCTGGGGGAGAACTTCCCTTTGCAGCTCAGGGCCTCTTCCTGTAGTGCTGGCTCAGGTTACAAACCTATACAAACCTATACACACCTATACACAGACACCATATATCCATTCCTGAGACAAGACAGTCTGCTGCAAAACAGAAGTTCTGCCCAGCATGAGAACGGATACAGATTTAAAAGGAAGAGCACCAAAGAGAAGGGAAACTACCATGGATTACAGTAAGGCACACATTACAGTATTGATTTATGTTAAAAAATCTGAGGGTTTAATGTCACTTTAAGAACATGATCACACATACACATGCAGTATCACATGCATCATACACAATGGGTTGAACTTGATGGACCTGTGTCTTTATTCAACCTCGAATACTATGTAACTACACTTCTAATCTGTTGCTCTTAAATTATGGCAAATCCAATTTTTTTCTCCTTTTTGTCAGTGGTTAGTATTAATGTATTGATCTTGAATCAACATTTACAGCTGTAGAGATTTCTTTTCTATATGCTCCATAGTTAAATAAACTACTCTGAAGTAATCCTCATGTTAGCAATATTTTTGTTGCCTGATTCATTTTAGAGATGGAAATGAAAGTGAAAGCAGAAAGGGCAGCGAAGGAAAAAGCGGAGAACCGAAGAGTGGAAATAGAGAAACAGTGTTCAATGCTGGATTTTGATCTCAAACAAGCACATCAAAAAATAGAGCACCTTGTTCAGCAAAAAGAGAGGCTGGAGGATGAGGTAACCATGGCTGTTTGCAGCATAGCAGATGAATGGATGAAAATGGGTTAACAGGGGTGCTGCTGGCCATACCAAGCAATCGCAGGATGCCGTTGTCATGATTAAGAGTTCTGCTTATGTTCCATGTTTCCCTAATCGTCCTCATAAAAGGAGTAAACCTGTGTCATATACCTTTTACACGGTACATTAAAGTGACACTCAACTCAGGAGTTAGATCTTAAAGATGTATTCAAGTACCTTTTAGTAAACTAAACGAGAGATTGTAATCCATCACGGGATGAGCTTGGAGGGGTGGCTACTTTACAACACACAGGGACCATGGGGAGCAAAGGTAGCCACCCTCCAGAAGGACAGTGTCAGCACCAATTCAGAGATGATTTGAGGATCTACAGCAGAGTGATACACAAGATACTTTTTTGTTAGTAGTTAAAGTACTTGCATGCATCTTTTAGGTTTAACTCCTGGGTTTAGTGTCACTTAAACATGCATAGCCTTCTGGTTTTAGCTATGTATATGATGGCCTGTGTAACAGCAGCATAGGCAGTGTTGAAATTGTCAAAAATGACTAAATTACATGGCCACTCACCTTATGTACAGCAAATATTTAACTTCTCAAAGAAGATGTGGGTGTCAGGGTTGATTTATACATTGGACAGATGAGAAGAACAAGAAGCCAAGTTCAATAGCAGATCTCGGTCAATTCTATTTGACAGGGCAAGGAGCAATCCATGAAATGCAGTAACTCACAGCATCCAGGTGAATGTCATCTTCCATGTTTGAGCACTGGAAATTGGTGAAAGCTTTTAATCTCTAGGGCGTCACTGCTCGTCATGGCTTCATTCACTTCTTATTTTAAACAAACCTTGGGCTTGAACAACATGATGGTTCAACAACGCTAGAGTAGAAATTACCATGAGTCTAGTATATTATGGTGGAAGTGATCCTCGAGTTTGTTCTTTGCAGGTGAAGCAGCTGACACTGCAACTCGAACAAGAGACTAAGAGGAGGACAATGACACAGAATGAACTGAAGGTGCATGCGTTTGAAGCTGATAATTTGAAGGGATCAGAGAAACAGTTGAAGCAGGAAATAAATACGTTGTTGGAAGCAAAGAGGTTGATGGAATTTGAGCTTGTTCAGTTAACCAAGTATGTATATTTTATGTCTATATATTTTCCTGTAATTATACCGTGTGCTTTATTATAAATTTAGCTTTGTTTACATGACCATGGAATACTGTAGCATTCTATAGAGCTCATTGAAAAGTGAAAGGGTTTATGGGGGAAGGAAAGGCTTGTCCACCTATCATGTGGTCTTGGCAGTTTTAGCTGACAATTAGAGGTTTTTTCGAGTGCTGTGTTTTGATAGCTGGGGACATGAAGTCTAGTGGAGAGCAGTACAATTCAGTTAATGACTTGCATTCTTGGCATGCATTGCAGTATGTATGCCTGGACGTTGCCTCAATAGACATAGACATTCTTGGCAAAAGGTTACAAAATATGCCAGCTTTCCCTATTTTTGTTATTCATTTTTCATTCTTTTTAATCCCATCTGTTCTATTGTCCAGCTTACATCAAGTCTCACTTTAATAAGAGTGGCGCCAAGTGCGGGTTGAATAATCCTTAATAATTGTTTTGGAATACCATCATTCTATGTGCTTACCGACGGCGCTAATGTTGTATCATTACTACATTATAGGTGTATTTTGCTGAAAGTAATCCTTATTACTAGGGCTGCACTGATACCATTCTTTCCAGACCGAGTACGAGTATCGATGCTTTTCCTCAAGTAGTCGCCGATACCAATTACTGATACTTTTTTTTTTTTTGGGTGTCGTGAGTTTTTCTAAAACAATACAGACTAATGATTTTAGGACAGCAGCAGAGTGCCAAGGCCTGGTTGCAGATGGGACCCTGGTAGTTCTGCCATTGACTCCAAGCTGAAGGACTACAACTCTCAGCAATACAATTTTCAGCAACGCTGGATACCACCAGCTAGAGAAGACTACAAATCCCACCAATATATTATACAGCAATGCTGAATAATATGAAGCTAGATACTCTGTGTTGCTCGCCGGGGGTTGGGCCGTGCCCGGAGAATAACTGTAACCTGGATGGCTTAAAACAGCTATTGCCTGCCAGCTGTATGTAGAGTAACCTAGGCATATGTCACAACAACAAAGGGCATTTAGTTGCTATAGTTTGGTTGCAGCAGTTACATTTCATGACTTGGTGCTTTGTTGAAATGATCTAATGTTCTTACTAGGAGATACTTTATATGTGTAGTTTATTGAAATTCTACAAAATAATAGGAGTTTCATTGTTTTATTTTTGTCCAGGCAATATAGAGGGAATGAAGGTCAAATGAGGGAGCTGCAGGATCAGTTGGAAGCTGAGCAATATTTTTCAGTAAGTATTTTATCTCTAGTGGAGTTAACGTTTTAATATGCAACTACAGCAAGAACTGATCATGGGCACATGACAAGGCGAGGGCCATTTCTAGATAATTCCTCCATGTCTCTGGCCTGTTGGCTTATATTCAATTTGTTGTTGGCTCACACAATGCAAAGTGAGTTGGTAGCTGCATAGTGAGCATCCTTAGGTGCCATGTGGTGCTTTTACAGCTCCTTCCCAGTACCCTGATCAATTGCTAAACCCATAAAGATGCTATACAGATTCCAACCTTTCTAATAGCCACCACTACACGACAATTTTCAGGCCTGCCTATAGCGCATTTAGGCATGTAGCATTGCATTATGGGAGGGGGAAGGGGGCATGCATGTTTACCCCATTACTAGAATTTTTATTTTTTTCTGATTGGGGTGTCTGACTATATTATGTAGCACAAAGAGTTGTTTTTTTTGCAGAGCCATGGGTTATTTATCTTTGTTTGAACCTCAGACAAGTTTTATTTAAAGCACTTTGAGAACTGTCTTTGCAGATCCATCTGCCTATATCCATTGAAATAAATGGGACAGCAAAACCTCTATAAACTGCTAGTTTATGGTTCTGAAGAAGTTTGGTCTGATATGAAATATAAACCTTGCATATTATGATCCCTCCATGTTCTTGTCCTGTGGTGACCCATTATGTTATGAGAGCAACCGCCCGTCTTTTTGAACATGTTGGATATCATTGATCAAGAGAGATCACAGGGGCTTTATTGTTGTGAGACTGACCGTTGAACGGTCCTTACCTGTCCTGATCTCTGAGATATTTTCTTGGCAGCCAGTAAAGCAGTCTTTTACAACTCATAGGATTCCATCTAGGAGGAAGCAACCCCCACTGACAGGTCACTGGTGAGGATAGGAAGTCATATCAGCACAGCAAAGAGTTTTTTTAGTTGGTCCTTAGAGGTGCAAAACTTTGTTGCCTATATCTGCTGTTTATGTATATACATATACATAAATTTTAATAACATGAAGCCAAGGCTGCAACCAACTAATCGATTCAGCGAAAATGAGAGTTGTTAACTATTCTCATTATCCATTAGTTGGTTGGACCCACTAGTCTCTCCTCAGTGCTGGGAGGAGGGCACAGCAAGCAGTGGGCAGGTGCAATAGCCAGTCTGCTATTGGCTATTGCAATTTGAAATGGCCAATAGCAGGCTGGCTATTGCAGCAGCCCACTGCCTGTTGTATTTACATTCAGCTGTCTGCGGAATCTTGCTACTGGCAGCGGTCATTTCCTGGATGAAGCTATCCAAGCACCATGTGCTTACAATACAATTATTTCAAAAAATTATAAAAGTTGGGGGAAAAGTAATTTCCGGTTTCTGCCCGGACAAATTCTGCTGTGGGAGGTGCATGCAGTGCCATTCATTTTAAAAGCACCCCAAACACACCTCCCAATTACCCATCCACAGTGTGATCGCCCGCACTAAAATGCACGGTACCGCAATGCCGTGCGTTCCAGTGCAGTACGATTGCAAAAAATTGTGCATGCTATTTTGCTAATGAAGTAAACTTTAACACTGCATTTGTGTATTTTATTTTAAATTAAGAAAGGTATTTGTTGAATTTTTTATTTTTTTTATCCGATTAACCGAACAAATAATGTTGCAGCCCTACATGCAGCTACATGATTTTCTATATTGTGTATAATTGTATTCTGTGCAATTGTACAGTTGTTTTTTTTGGGTGTTTTTTTTAGTCATCTTGTATAGCTCATGGTTTAGCCTTCTCTGTATTTGATATGTGCCCTCTTACATTTAGTTACATTTTCCTGCATCAACATACGAAATGATTACTAGTATGATGAATTTGTAACCTGTCTATTCACTTATAACTTTAGCAGCAGGTCTAACCAAGGAAGACCAATCAGGTTTGATATCTCCCCTTATTTATTTACAGACGCTGTACAAAACTCAGGTCAAAGAACTGAAAGAGGAGGTTGAAGAAAAGACAAAGCTAAGTCAGGATTTAGAGAAGAAAGTTTTTGAATTTCAGAATGAGAAGTAGGTTTCCTATTCATAAACATTCCTGATATGCTTTATGCTATTCTTCCTGCTACATTGATGTTTTGAGCACAATTCTAGTATACATTGTTAACTAAAGCCCAGTGTGTAGAAATGCAGGAAGAAATCTTTTCATACAGCAATCAGATGCATCTCTAGATTGGGTTTTATGAGTTTGGCTTTACTTTTCTTTCTTTTTTTTAATCCGTTAATTAGATGTACATGTTTTTATTCCTTGGAAGGTTGATACCCTCTCTGGATTGCTGAATAGCACAATTGCAGTGATATTAAAGCTTAATTTTTTATATATAAAGAGGAGGCCCATACCTTTTAAAAATCAGTTGTTATAAATTAAAAAAATGTTCAGCTAATCGTTCTCTAGTGGGTCCCCGCAGATGGCTCCCCCGCCCCGCCCCCAGCACGGGTGCCACTATCAGCTGAGCAGCTGATACACAGCCCTGTGTCATAGACACACACAGCCCTGTGGCAGGCCACGCCCCTCCTCTTGGCCCAGCAGGTTGATTGACTGCAGAAGGACCCTACGGCTCCTCTGCCCTCAATCTCCTCCCCTGCAACCAGGAAATTCGGACAGAGGATCGCTTCGGGGGCCGTCGGCATTGACGAGAGACGCTGACAGGTAAGTGAGGGTGGCACAGTAAGGTACTGGGTGTCTTTTACTTTAATGCAGAGAATGCATTAGTGTAAAAAATGCCCTGCCTTTAGTAATCTTTTAAATTCCCCTCATGGTTTGAGAATCATGAAAGTCTGAGTAATGCTACATCAATTTCCCAGCACACACCACCTTGCAATGAGTGCTTTTGCATAGTTTAAGAAGCTGGTACTAACAGTATGAGCTCTAGACAAGGAATCCATAATACAGTATACTCTCACTTTTCCGGCACCCATGGGGATCGGTAGGTGCCGGATAACTGTAATTTCTAGTTGCTTGAGAGTTTATAGTAACTCTGCAGCCAACAGGTGAATCTAAACTGTCGGGAGCAATAGCCAAACTGCTATTGGCTATTTCAAATTGAAACCCCACCCACTGAGCAGAGGAGCTGTCCTCAATTTGTTTTTGTTTTTTCTCTGTTCATGTCTCATAGTAGCATTGCTCTTGTGCTGGCTATACATTTGGCAATTTTGTGGTAGTTGTCGAAGCTTGCCATCAAACTTGATTGCAAAGAACCAAACTGTTCGTCGCAGTCTCACTTTTTCAACCATTTCCTGGTTTCTATCAACAGGATGATTAAACCTGAAGCCTGAAGTGCAGTTGAACTAAATGTGTTTTTCCATTTGTATTATGCTGGTTTAGGACTTCGGCCTCCCTATTTTTTGTCATTGGTTGGAGGAAACAATTGACAGTGGGTGAATCGCTGTAGATTATTATTTTGTTTTAAATAAAAGCTAAAGGAAAGTTGCACATTTGCTAAGTGTATGACTAGAAATTAAGTTTGTGTTAGACCAGTACATGGGACATGCATTGTATTTGCTTTATTTTTCAATGATTGCCCAGCTTTGTATTTGTGTTTAGTGATTTTGCCCTGATCATACATCTTTGGTGTGTCACAGTAATGCACATTTCTCCTGGATACTTCCCATTTTCACTTCCATGTGAAGTCAGTTTTAAATGAACATTCTATTCTTGCTAGTGAATCAAGTCCCCCACTGTTGGGTTGTATCTCTACTGGTGCCGTTTATTCTTTGAATGGTTGTCCAGCAAACTTTCACTTTCCCTTTTGTGTATAGTTTTTAGTTAAGGATACCTAGTATTTTAAAGCAGCTGTTTTGTTCAATACATAATCATTCCTCCTCTTCCTGCAGAGAAACTCTTGCTACGCAGTTGGATCTGGCGGTAACAAAAGCAGAATCAGAACAGCTTGCTCGAGGGCTTCTAGAAGAACAATGCTTTGAGCTATCTCAAGAGAATAAGAAGTTCTCTTCAAGGGTGAGGCAAGATGTCATAGAGAAGGACCATACCATCCACAAGGTAACCTTAAATGTCTTATTAATGGACAATGTCCTTATATTGCTTGTGTTAGGTTCACTTTAAAAACATATCAGCCATGTTTCAATCTGCATCATTAAATGGTTTCAAATTATATAACACATCATAATTAAACACACTGGGGGAATTTATCAAAACTGGAGCAGACCAATCAGCCTCTTTTTTTTAAGTTTGTTTAGTTAAGCTTTCTCATTGGTCAGGTGACCGTGCTGACCACTAAGTTCTTTCCATTTGCAAACGTTATTCAAAAAGCTCAGTGCAGGACTGCAGTTTTGTGTATGGAATGCGCACTGGCTGTGGCCAGGGGAATAGCGATTCTATGAGAGATGAAAGCTGATTGGTTGCCATGGGCAACTGTTCCAGATTCTGTCTGCTCCAGTTTTGATAAATTCCCCTCATTGAACAGTTGCCCATTGGACTCTGTAGCAGTTGCCCATGGCAACCAGTCCGCTTCTCTCTTTTATTTTCAAAGCTCCACTGAGCAAACTGGAGAGAAGCTGATTGGTTACTATGGGCAACTGCTCCAGTTTTGATACATGTTTGCCCAACCCCCCAATTTGTCTTTTATAATTAGAGTGTAAAACAAAACACCCCAGTTAAGTGTCTGTGCCTAAGTTTATTAATTTATTACAGGCATTTATATAGCACTGACAACTTATGCAGCACTTTACATACTGCACATTCACATCAGTCCCTACCCTCAAGGAGCTTACAATCTAATGTCTTTTGGAGTGTGGTAGGAAACCAGAGTACATGGAGGAAATCAACACAAGCACAGGGAGAACATGCAAACTCCTTGCAGATGGTGTTCTGACCAGGATTTGAACTGAGGACCCTAGTGCTGCAAGGCAGAAGCGTTAACCGCTAAGCCACCTTTTATGAGGATCTGTCTGACAGCAGCGTTCTGGGAGAATGATGACATTGGTCTGACCATGCTGACCAATGAGAAGTGCCTCTTGCTAAGAGGCACTTCTCATTGCTTAGTATGGTATGGTGGCTGTGTTGACCAATAAGTGCTAAACCATTTGCTATAGTTTGGGATGCACAGGATGTACACCGGCTGCTGCAAAGGGGGAACCGCGGTTCCCCCAAAGATATGACTAGCTGGGGTGTGGAGAGGGAGAGGATTTGTGGGGGTCATTTCATTTTTTCACTTTTTGGTGAGAAACTGGAATTAACCTTTAATCCCTTCATGACTGAGCTAGTTTTCAGTTTCTGTTCATAAATGACACACTTTTTTTCACAAGTTTTGATTATTATTAATTTTTTTTTTTTTAGAAATTTGTTACAGTATAAAAAAATATATTTATCATTTTTATTTTCCTAATTTTGTTTTACATTTTTTTTTTTACACTTTGTGTAAAAAAAGGAAGAAAAAACAAAAAATGTTTTTTGTCAGTTTATATCAAGCAGTCACTATGACTGCTTGATAAATTAACTTTTTTAAAAATTGTGGCTATTATTAGGCTGTTCCAAACTTAGGAACAGCTAATAATAACTTTAGAGACTGATCCTGACAGCATGTCAGATTCAGATCTCACTAAAAGGTCTTTGATCGGCCCAGACGATCAGAAGTCTGATACCTTTCACTCAAAGAGATGCATTGTATCTCTTTGGTGCAATGTATCATAAACATCGAGCTGTCAAAATGAATATCAGAGAGGTGACTCACTCTGCTACCTCTCTGCTATTTTCAGCTGTCAAATACGGGATCGCTATTTAGCGGTCCTGTATTTGCATGCAACGGCTTCATTCTTTCATTAATGAAACAAAGAAGCTTTTACAAAAGCTGAACTATTTCATTAATAAATGCCTCAATCCTGAGGCATTCATTAATGACTGGTAACTCCTGAGAATCAGCGGTTACCGGCATTACAAAGCCTGATCTAACTCGTCACGTACAGTGTACGTGGCCAGTCATATAGGCACTTCGTGACGGGACGTACAGTGTAGTCTCCCGTCGCGAAGGGGTTAATGGTTACATTGGTACTAATTTGTGATTTGTACCTGTAACCTATTGATCCAGACTTTGTTGCCCGATAACATTATAAATATAGAATACAGGTGTTTCGATCTCATTTAAGTCTTCCTCTTTTTTTTCCGCAAGTATTGTTTATGCATTATGAATTAAAATGTCTTTAGTGTGAATTCACATCAGCAAGCCACGCTCAACGCGCTGCCGCTGGTGTGCATTGAGAGAAACTGCGCACATCTCATCGCACTTCCATTTTTCTTCAATTTTTTTTAAAAATTGAACTTTGTGACAAATGACGATTCATTCAGTATTACAGTCACAGCATAGCGTGATGCAGTTGTAGTGCGTCACACCACAGTGCACTGGAAAAAATTAGTATTGCATGCAGTTCCTTCTTTCAATGCAACAGAAACAGGTGCTTTCAGTGGCCCCTTTAATGTAGAAAACCTGCTGATTCTTGACTTGTCTTTGTAGCTGGAAGAAACAAACAACACATTAACCAAAGATGTCCAGACAATATCAAAAGAAAATGCTGATCTGATTGACAGGCTTAAAGCAATGGAAGAAGGTAGGTAATATATAGGTAGTTCAGAGTTTCTTTGTAGTGGTCATCTTTTGTTTTTTAAACACTTGTTTACAAACAAAATCATTATTTGGTATGTGTGTTGATTACCATTTTGGCTAAGGTAAGCCTTAGACTCTTTATCATTATCTGTGAGTTCTGGGATCAAGACCTATGCTGCCTTCTAAGTTGGACTCAAGCACTGACACAACCATGTAGAGGGTGTAAACCAAGAGAACCCTAAACATCATTACCATGGACAGTCCAGCCATTGATAGTTACACTTTTATATTCATGGATTACTATCCCTTAGGTTATTGTAGAACCAGTTGTGATTTGTTGGTGCTGGATCAATAGTGGTAGATAATGCTCATATGTAAAACTGCAGGAGAAATCTGCCATTCCCCAACAGAATGGGCATAGGTAGGCCTGTCCACCCCCTTTTTTTCAAGACTAAGTAGGTTCTGAACTTGCTGAACAGATGTAGTATTTGCTGAGCAGGTAGGCAAGGGTTCCTGAAAGCATTTTATACTTTTACCCATTCCCTAATAACAGTTTAGATGCTTTTTTAATCTTGGTACACAGTGATCATTGCAAAGTTAAGGAATTCTATTGTATTTTTACTGTTCATTTAGAAAACACAGAAATCAATATAATCAGAAATCTATTGTTTGTTGTATATGCTAGATATTTGTTAGGGTTGTCTTGTAATGTATGTATTTCTTGTATTTTAGAGTTTAAGCTGAGACAAGAGGAAATTAGCAGCATGAAGATTATGTATGAGAAGAATATTAACACTGAAAGAACACTTAAGACCCAGGTAACTCTGGCTTATACTTTATGCCTGCAGTCTTATTTTCACTTTTGCAGTCAAATTGGGATATCTACTTTATATTTGTTATATGCTCCCATTCACATAGCATACACTTAAAACAATTATTGCCACTTACATTTTTACTTGCTCTTTTCTAAAAACTACAAAACTGAAGTTTTCTCATGCTTTGTATGGCCTGGGGAGTTCATGTTTACCATAATCACTCTGTCTGTACTGTGTTGGCAGGTACCAGTCGTAAACTAGACTTGAACATTGTCTGTTCTAACACAGGGCTATATTAGGGAAACCACTACACATGAGAAGGAATAAAGCAATGTTCTGTTATACAGCACATCTCCTGAATGTATGACTTTAATATATTCTGAAGGAGCCTGCATGGAGAGTGCTGTTTTTTTTTTTTTTTATGTGAGCGTGCCCTTGCATCTATAGGAAGTGCACTTTCCAAATCCATTCTTTTTGTTCTGCATTTAGGGGGCACAAAGCCCAGCATGCCCTAAACATAAAGGTACATACGGCATCTCTTTAGCATGCTAAATGTTTACTTCTTGTTTGTATTGTACTATCACTTACTAACGAATGCATTTGGATATGCTAATTCTTTTTCAGGCTGTAAACAAACTGGCTGAAATTATGAACAGGAAAGACTTTAAACTGGACAGAAAGAAAGCAAACACCCAAGACTTGAGAAAGAAGGAGAAAGAGAACCGGAAGCTGCAGTTAGATCTTAACCAAGAGAAAGAGAAATTCAATCAAATGTCTATGAAGTTCCAGAAAGAGTTAGATGATATGTTAATGGTAATCCCTTTTGGTTTTTAGATGTTATGAGCTGTCATCTAAATGTTAAGAGACTTGCTTCCTTATACGATAGTGTTGAAATTCTTAAGTGCAGCCAATCCGAATTATGTCTACTGAGGGTATTTGATTGAGTCTTATTGGGTTGGCCTGTTAAGAATTAGCAGTTTTTATGAATAGGCTCTATGGTCACAATGAACTAGGATATAATTGTAGCTAAGCATTCAAATATATGCTAATAATGCATATAGCATATATGCTCTCTTATATGCTAAGAGAGTTTATATTGTAAAGCGCTGTGCAAACTATTGGCGCTATATAAATCCTGTATAATAATAATAATGATTCAAATGTTTTGGGGTTTAATGGTACAATGTTCTAACTTATTGTAAAAAAAACACATAGGGGGGAATTTATCAAAGCAATTGCCATAGTTTTAGCCTCTTAGATTACATTTTTGTAATGTGCAAATCTGTTTCGCCTCTCATTTTAACATGTGCGCCTGTTTTAACCAGAGTTTGCACTATTTTTCCTATTGCGCCTGTTTTGCGAAAGTTCGCAATGGTTTACATTAGGGATGCACCGATACCGGTACCTCCTGATTAGCCGGGCAGTGTGTAAAGACTCGCTCTCGTCACAAGTGATGAGAAAGCATGGAGCCGGCTTCCCGGCCTATCAGAAAGCCGGGCAGCGTGTAATGATCAGCTTCCTGATACCGGAAGTATATCTGAGCATTTGGGCGAGTAAGAATACTCGCCCAAATACTCGGGATCGATACCAATACTTGTATCGGTGCATCCCTAGTTTACATCTGTACTTGTCCTGCGGCTGTCTGAAACTGGAGCATCACAAAACAATTGCAACTTAAGTCCCCATGAACACTTCAAGAAGCGACACTTAAGCTTTTTGCCTGGAGTTGTGAGTCCTCTAACCTGGAGTCTTTTTGATCTCATTTATGAACAACATTACACTAGCAACATAAATCTGACACAAAGTGCGTCAAATATATTCCGTGCGAGTTCAAACACTCACAATTGCTATGATAAATTCCCCCCAATGTGCATTTGAATGAATTTCAAATCATAGCAGTTATACTTCCTTGGCACTGATCCTGTGTGCTGTACAGTCAGAATACGCTGCTGTTTGCACTCATTGTCATTTGGCAGTTGTGGAGTATCTCAGTGCAAGTTAGTGCTTGCTTGTCATTCATGGTTTCAAATACTACACTCTTTTTTAACTTAATGCATCTTCTAGTTGAAAATTTTTAAGAGGCTCTGTAAGAAAAGAAAAAAAAAAAGCCACAAGAAGGACTGGTTTGACACCAGTGTCCCATTTAGGGAGTACAACAGGCACTTGAGAACACATCTGATCCAGAGTCTGCTGGTTCCACCTCAATGTTGTGATGGTCGTGAACATATTTGTGCCAGGGAAGGTTGCCTGTAATTGCATTAAGCTTTGAGAGTCAAGAAATTGTGATCTTTTGAGCTTTCCTAAAAGTTCTGCTTACCTAGTTGTTGAAATCCTCTCGTGTAATTGTGACAAAAGTAGGCTCTTTTTCTAAGGATTTACTTGTAATTGTATTGCAGAAGATGTTTGTTTTAGAAAGCTTTTAACTTGGACATTACCCTGTAAAAATACTAAAACATTGCTTTCCATTTTGTAGCAAGTTACTGAGGAAAGCATCTACAAGAATGAGCTTCAGATGCAGCTAGACAGTAAGGAAAGTGATATTGAACAGCTGCGTTCTAGACTGGCAGAGTTACAGCTCCGGATGGACTCTACAAGTGTCGCCAGTTTGCAGCCAGATGATACAGATGGCATGATAGGGGGTAAGTACTGGAACTATGCTTTACAAATATTCTATCCTGGTATGTATGTAATATATGTGTGTTTTCAGAAAATGTGTTGGTTTTAGCTGACAGCCAGTAGATATAAACCTCATTGTCGCGTGGCTAAACAAAAAAAAGATCCCTATCCTTCTGTTAAAGCTTTGTGAACTCAGCCTGTTTTTGGTGGAGTAGTCAAGTATGATTTTATATCTCAAATTTGATTGTTACTACTTCACAAGACCACAACTGGACCTGATCACCCCATCCATGGCATCTGTGTTAAGCTGGCCACACACCTATAGATTATCTGCAGATTTTCTATGGTCAGATGGGAAAAGTGTAACCGATTCCTCCATCTACACGAAACTGTGTGTAGGAGGGCCAAGCTTCAGTATGTTGTTAGTCGGCCACGCTGGCTCTGAAAATACCTGAACAATGCCTGCATCCAATCAGATTGTTCAGTTATTTTGACTGCCAGCGAGGCCGACTAGCAACATGCTGAAGCTTGGCCCTCCTATGAAAATCTGCAGATAATCTAAAGGTGTATGGCCAGCTTTAGAGTCTAAACTTGTCTTTAACTTCCAGTGCTGGCACTGCGTCCTCCATATCTCCATCAGTCTATTTGGGAAGGGGGGTGAATGGTTACCTTTTGTATGGTATCTTAAATGTAAAGACTTTTATTTAGTGTGAAGCACTAGAATCTTGGCTGATGAGAAGCTTAGTCTTAGGGGAATAGAGATTAGATATCTTTACCCAGAGTCTTAAAGACTTGGAAATATGGTAATGCATCTTAAATTTAAACTTTAGACAATGTTTTGTGTCACCTATTGTTTTTGATATCTCACCTTCACTTCCTGTCCCATAGACAAGTTTTGGCTGAAGTTCGATTTTTAAAAATGTTTGTTATTGCAGACACCAGTAATAACAACTTTCTTAATGGAATATGATTTTTTAAAGCCTGCACATAATTCATATCGTTTAAAGATGTTTCAGTTCATTTAAAGACCTAGATGAAACTAGTTTAAGTAACACCCAAATTATGCAATATTTGTGAAAATAGCATTACTAATTACTGACTCACAGATTTCCTTTTCCGGTGAGAAAGATGTCTGGATATTATGATTGCAGTTTTAAAGTCAGCATTTCTAGACTGAAATACCAGTACAGTTATATGAAAGTGTACACCCAGGCCTTATTTGAAGCACTTACCCACACTCCAATATTTCAGTCGGTTTGAGATATATACAAATATATATATATATATTTCTGTTAAGAAAAGGCTGTACACAGCCACTGCCACTTTGTTGTTAATGGTCAAGTGACGGTGTCTCTTTTAAGGGCCGGTTCACACCACAAGCGGTCAGCCTCTGGAATGTACTGTATCGCAACATGGCCGGCTCCCTGCGTTCAGAGTTGGGAGGGGCCATGGCGGTGGGTTGAAGTCAATGGCACTGCAGCCATGCCCCCCTCCCACAGTGCGATCGCCCACACCTGAACGCGTGGCACATCGGTGCCTGCGTTCCAGTCCAGTGCGATCTGTAAAAATAGTGCTTGCAGCCTTTTTGCAGATCGCACTGGACCAGGACGCAGGCACCGATGTACCACGTGTTCAGGTGCGGGCAATCTCACTGCGGGCTAAGGGTGTGGCTGCTGTGTCATTGACTTCAATGCACCGCCATGCCCCCTCCCGACCCTGAACGCAGGAAGCTGGCCGGACTGCGATACAGTGTTTTCCAGAGACGGACCACTCTGGAACGCACTGTTTGTGGTCTGAACCAGCCCTAAGAGCACTTTTATTGAGGTGGAATAGGTGACCTAGCTAAATGATGATTTGACCCGTCTAAGGATCAATCAAGACTATTAACTTCCAAAGTGAAAGATGGCTTTCTTATGTATTCAGGTACAGCTAATGTTTTAAAGCAACACCTGAAGAGCTTCATGTCCTAAAAATCAGCCTTTTCATTAACTGTTAGAACAAAGTAACATCTTTAAGCAGAACTACACCCTCCTATACTTTACAGCCTAGAAAGGTGCCATTTTGGCCTCTATTTGGGTTGCAGTATGTGCTGCACATGTGATCAGCTATGACACCAGCCATTTGAGGGCTTGAAAATTCAGTTGGGTTGAAATGAGCACACTGTCATCATTGACGGTAATTACCAGAGGCATGCCTTGAATCTAACTGCTTTTGGAGAATTTAAATTGGTGGGTCAAGTTCCGCTTTAACAGATAAGATCTGAAATGTGAAAAATGCACTTCTCTATCAGTACCAGTACCAAGTCTTTGTGTTTCAGTATCTTCTGTTTCATTTTGTTAGCATTCAGTGGTGTTGCTGGACCATCATTTCGTAGGTGTGTGTGTGTGTGTGTGTGTGTGTGTGTGTGTGTGTGTCATTGCAGTGCCTATTTTGGGGGATGTTATGGTTTCCTTGTACTGCTGGGACCCCATTACTAGCAGAACTAGGCATATTGTTAACGGATAAAACTGACTAGTATGCTTAGCTCTGACACAGAACAAGTTTTAAATGAAGTGGAGCTCTTCTTCCCACTAAATATACTGTTTGTCTCTTATTCTCCGTTTAGTCGAGTCTACCTGCATTCCTTATTTCTCTCTCTCCTATTCTTGTCTTCTGTGAGTAAATGGAACTGTCTGTTACCAGTGGCCGGCTTTTCAGATAGCTTGATGCACTTTCTGCTTTCAGATTTGATTTCTAGTCTTTGATTCAGCTGTGCTCGTATTTTTTACTTTTGGCTTTTTATACAATGTCTTGGTTTTTTTAAAACACTCTTCATGTTCAACTTGCATCACTTTCTGCAAGTTCTTTATCTGCTTGTGGGCATGAAGTGTTTGAGAGTCCGGTGTACATCTCTGCTATCTATCTTGCCATGCGTTCCCATTCTGCATGTCCCAGTATCTTGCACAAAGCTCTGGCTGAATGGTGGCTTGTACCAGTGACTAAACAGAATGTCATCTGTTTCTAGAATCCGAATCAAGAATTGAAGGCTGGCTCTCTATACCCAACAGAGGGAACATTAAAAGGCATGGATGGAAGAAACAGGTTTGTGAACAGCAAGTATTTCCAAATGTATTCCTTACAGGTTCCTTTACTAAGGGATTGCTAACAAAGATGACAATATCTGGGTTCAGTTACTAGTAGCAACTAATAACAGTTCAATTTGCCATCGTTACTTTAGAGAAGGATCTCTTTTTCTTGGTTGCCCTATCACCTGTGATATTCCAAAAAACGATGAATGGACATATTATCTATACTAATTCTGTATGAAACAAAACTTACCGATTTGTATATTATATTTTATTTCAATTAAAAGTCCATTGAAAGCTGATAACTGTGCTTTGACTAGACATGTTTAAAGCCCAATTGCAGTTTATTCTTAAACTGAACAGATGCATATATTTAGGTTGATTACAACATATCTGTAAATGTCTTAATCTGAGATTTTCTTTAATCACTCTCTGCCCAAAATCCAATGGCGCATGTAGCAAGGTACAGAAAAGATCTCTGCAGTGGCCTGACATGCCCTCCGCTTTTTTCATTGGAGTGTTAGATTTGATGGAAAAGTTGCATCATTTACTCATTTACTCAATTGCAAAACATCATATTTGTCATCCCCCCTTTCCCCATGCAGAGGTTATAGAAAACCTTCATGTTTCACTTGGGTACACTGCATTATACTACATGCAAGTCCAATAACCCTAACCCATAACTGGCACGGTCCAAGTGCTTTTGGCTCAGGCACCTGTCTGCCAACATGACCCTAAACAGAAGGGTTCATCTTGACTAAGGATTAGTGTTTAAGGGGACCTTCTTAGGTTATCAACTTGTGTTTTCAGGTCTAAGCTTTAGGGCCGTCCTCTTTGATTCATTACCAAAGTGGAACTTGTGTGTGCATACTAGATACTTCCCTGGGTACATCCATGTTAGGTTACTCAGTAGCTGAAGAAAGGATACTGGAACTTACCAGAACTATTGTAGGTTGTGTGAAGCTTGCTTATAACATGCCATTGTTTATTTTCATATTTTAAAACTGATTTCTCTTTTTATAGTATGTCGTTGTTAGCAGTAAAAAGATTCTGTTTTACGAAGATGAGCAGAATAAAGAACAGTCCAACCCATCGATGGTACTAGACATAGAGTAAGTTTGTTTTACTTTTACTCGTCATAAAGCTTAAAATCTGTTTATCAAGATTATGGAGTATTAGAGCTAGTAAATTGATCTGTATAGTTTAACCCCTTCATGACTGAGGCCTTTTTTTCATTTTTTGTACCCATGTTATATTCCACATTTTAGGCCTGAAAATATGAACGAGCAACTGAAAGCAACCAGAACAAAGTATATTGGAAGACAAACATTTTTGTGTGTAAAATAGTATGGAGACAAGATAATGTCCTGTGACACACCTCAGAGCTATTGGATGCATGCGACTGCCAGAAAGATGCAATCTACGGACCCCATTTTTCTGTTTGATGAGGGTAATCACCAAACAAGTGACATCTAAGTCAAATATGCAAGGCCCAGAGAGCAGTACTGGTAAACCAGTAGCAGAATAAACATCTTGACGTGTGTGTATATCACAAGAAAGGCTCGTCAGAGTTACAAAGCCTTTTGCAGGTGTAACAGTAACTATATACAGTATGTATTGTGTTTTATTTCTTTGCCCGTTGTCCCAATTGAGAGGTTGTTTTTTTTGTTCATAAAAACTGCAACTAAATGCATTCTTCTTTGTGTTTTCAGTAAACTTTTTCATGTCCGCCCTGTTACACAAGGAGATGTTTACAGAGCAAATACTGATGAGATCCCGAAGATATTTCAGGTAAACGCTATCAATGAATGTCATTAAGTAATGTACCACAGAGTAGACAACAGTTTGCTTGCTAGATGATTTTATGGTGGATGTAAAGCTGCCATTTCCTTTTTTGCAGATACTCTATGCCAATGAAGGGGAATGCAGGAAAGACCAGGAATTGGAACCAGTGCAGCCAGCTGAGAAGACCAATTTCCTTAACCACAAAGGACACGAGTTCATCCCTACACTCTACCACTTCTACGCAAATTGTGAGGCTTGTTCTAAGCCTCTGTGGCATGTTTTCAAGCCGCCCCCGGCACTGGAATGCAGGAGGTGCCATGTCAAGTGCCATAAAGACCACTTGGATAAAAAGGAGGAAGTCATAGCCCCTTGTAAAGGTGAGTATAGAGAATGTGTAAGCTGAATAAGTGTATTTTAAAATTCATATTTTTGGATAAGTTATTAATAGGGCTGTTACTGATTACAATTTTCGTGTTCGATTAATCGAAATTCTTTTTAATCGATTAATCGATTCATTTCGATTAATTAAAACGCACATACAGATCCAACTACATTGGTCTATACACATACAGCACAGCAATGAAGTAATAAAATGAACTAGGATCACACTAATCCAGCACGTTAATCTCACGTGCCCCACTCAATATGGCCGCCGCTTAAGTGGGGCAACTCAGAATAATAACGTGCTGGATTAGTGTGATCCTAGTTCATTTTATTACTTCATTGCTGTGCTGTATGTGTATAGGCCAATACCTTGGCTGGCGCTCGTGCAGAAAGTTTCAAAAAAAATTTAATCGATCAAAAAGATTAAGGATTAATCGAGAAATTAATCGTTCATTTGCACAGCCCTAGTTATTAATAGTCAGCGCATTTAAAAGGAGTGTCAGCAACAAGGCTCCTGTCCGCCCATGTTGGGGGACAAATTGATGTTGAAAGATAAGAGAAGATATCATTGCTTGTTTGTCACGAACGTTTAAGTGAACCTGTCATGAAATATGGGGGGTTGTCATTGCTGACTAAAAAAGTTAGTTGCATTTCTGTTCTGTTGACCAGATTAAATACTTTCTGTATTCTGACCCATCTGTGGTCAGAATTTTTGCTTAACCCAGAACTATGCTTGTTCTGGGTCAGGGATTAATGGAAGTATGGAAGCACGAGATCCAGCATGGCTGCCAGGCAATTAGTATTTTTAAAAGAGCTCAGCAATTGCAGGCTCCATGCGTTTCTTGTTACAGGTTTCTCTTAAATATTTAGATATTCTGGGTAGGGCTGCAACAACTAATCGACATAATCGATTATTGAAAAAGTTGTCAACTTTTTCAATAATCGATTAATCGGCTTCCGATCAGTTGGCCCTGTTCAAAGCTCCACATGCTGTGCGCCGCACCTCGCCCCCACCGCACGCTCGCCGCTGCCAGACCCGCTCGCATCTACGCTCCACACGCCGCACCTCCTCCCCTCCTCACATTTCCTGCCCATCCACGATCGGCAAGGCACGCGGGGAGATGTAGTAAGGAGGAGCAGGGGTGGGGGGATGACAGCAGCTGATAGACAGGTCCAATCTCAAAAGCAAGTTGCTGGAAGACTGGTCAGGTAAGCCTGCACTTTCCCACACATGGTGCTCTATAATGTATTGCTGGGATTTGTATTCCTCTATAGCTGATGGTACATTGTACTGTACATTATACATAGGAATACAAATACCAGCAATGCATTATACACTGTATGTATAATGTATTGCTGGGATTTGTTGTACTCCTCTATAGCTGGTGATATTCTGCATTGCGCTGTATAGAGGACTACAAGTCCCAGCAATAATACATTATACAGCGCAATGCGGAATACCACCAGCTATAGAGGACTACAACAAATCCCAGCAATAGTACATTATAAAGTGGTACAATGCTAAATACCACCAGCTATAGAGGACTACAAAACCCAGCAATAGTACATTATACAGCGCAATGCAGAATGCCGCCAGCTATTATGTACTATTGCTGGGATTTGTTGTATTCCTCTATAGCTGGCGGTATTCTGCATTGCGCTGTATAATGTGCTTTTGCTGGGTTTTGTAGTCCTCTATAGCCGGTGCCATTCTGCATTCATTGCTGTATAATTTTACACTTTCCATTTCACTATATTGCACACCACACTATCTTTTTTTTCTTTTTTACTTCCACCGCTCCAAGCTTGCTCCTGTGATGGACTACAACCTCAATACAAACTAGTAGTCCCATCATTGGAGCCATTTTTTAAACTTTATTTTATTGTTTATCCGATTAACCGATTAATCGAACTTAATAATCGGCTAACTAATCGATTTTGAAAATAATCGTTAGCTGCAGCTCTAATTCTGGGAAGTGCATTTCTTGTGGGTTTTATCGGACTGTGTATGCTGCATGGCCTGAATGACATTCACCCTTCAGTGAATAACTATGCGTGGACTTCCTCACATTCACCTATTTCAGGCATGGAGATTTTTTTGGATTATTGTTTGCACAAGACAAGAACAACAATTTCCATGAAAAGTATCAGCAACAATTGTTCATTTTTGTGCTCATTTGTTGTATATCAGGAGATATTTTTTTGTGCAGACATCTCACCCTCGTTCAATTTTCTTACAACTAGCCCATCATGCACAGACCAATGTAGTCGCATTTGACGCTGTTCAGCGCCACCACCTGGCCGATTTTCATCGATCGAAAGGACAGATTTTCGTTTGAGCATGTGCAGTTTTCATCTTTTTTGTAGTACAACAACGCCACTAACCTGTCAATTTTTGTCCAGTTAGACACAAGTTTTCTAGCCTGCTTGAAAGACAAAAATCTGCCAGTTGTACAATAATTGAGGTTGTGCCCTTCCCATCAACTGGCAAATTTTCAGACGAAAACGCAATTGCAGACAAAAATCTCCAGATAATTGTAATGTGTATGGGCACCTTAACACTTTAATGCACTGTTGGTGATCTCTTGTTAATATTTTTTTTTTAATGTTTCTGTTTTTCACAGTGAGTTATGATGTGACATCTGCAAGGGATATGCTTTTGCTGGCCTGCTCTCAGGATGAGCAGAAAAAATGGGTGACGCATTTGGTAAAAAAGATACCTAAAACCCCCCCTTCAAACTTTGTCCGCGTTTCCCCAAGAACAATGTCTACCAGGTCAACAAACCAGTCCTTCAGAAAGGCTGCTAAGTCTGGGTCAGGAAAAGCCAGGTAAGAACACAGCTGTGCAATTTCCGTATATACCCGGCATAGGCCAAATGGCTGACTGCATGAAGAATGATATATCTGTCTTTATGGTGTATGAATATAAAGATCACATCACTTATAGTCCACATATAAATAGAGCAAATAGGTGAAAGCTGCACATGGTGAGTAGACTGTGCTCTCATGAGTAGGGCCCTCCTAACCCTACTGTACTGAAATTGTATCTGTACGGTCTCCCTCCATTTTGTAAAGCGATGCACAAACTGTTGGCGCCATATAAATCCTGTATAATAATATTGTACAATACTAATATAACGTGTGGTCATCTTAAGCCTTCTTCAAGTGGACCCTAACCCTATATTTAAGTTCAGCTCTCCTGACTCCGACCATGTGGCACCCTATCTAAAGCTAATATGAACACGCATAAAAAACTTTTAGAAGGATGGGGCTCCATTCTTGTACCAGCCAGCAGCGTATTCCTGATCTTTACTGGTCAAAGCTGTAGCTGACCTTGAGGGTATAGGTGTGTTTTAACGTTTGTTTAGAATATTGTTTTTTTTTACATTTTTATCTAAACAATAATGCTACATGTTTGAGAGGTAACATAAATAACCTTACACTAACCAAGGAAATATATGCATTTATAGGTCTATCCATGCTTGGTCATAAAACAGTCTATGGAGAAGTTGTGTTTGTTCCGTGGAGGAACAGTGACGGCGCTGTTTACATGACATTGCAGTTTTCTTGAAGTCTGAGTTGGGCAGGAGAGCTAGGGTGCCACACTGTAAATAGGCTGATAAATGCCAGTTACTGTGTAGTCTTCACCCAGGTTTGCTGCATCCAAATGGTGGATGGGGATGTTTAAAAAAAAAAAAAATGAAAGCCCTACTCCTTGGGATTCCTCTTCTGCCCATTGAAGCACCCTCTGGCCATATATACATACTTTTTGAAGTTACATGTCTTCCTCCCTCCTTTTTTTCCCCAGCAGTGGGCAGATCCTACATTCTGCAGACAACCATGCTGCTTTGTGTACAATTCTCCTGGGGGTTAGCTTTAATTACTGCAGGGGAAATATGTTTTAGATTTTTCTCCAAGCTGGAATTGGAAAGTTAAGATATTTACTATGCCTTCTTTGATGACAGGTACACTTTAAGTTGTCTCAATGTAAAGACCAAGCAGTTTGGCTAGCTTTCAACTGGCATAGTTCACATAACTGCATTGTGGTGCATGCGCTTTACTCTTTTCAGCACAATGTGGTACAACTCAGTTTGCATTGCACTGAGCCCAATATAAATGAATGAAATCATGTTCTGTCAAATAAAGTGATAGATTGCGATGGGCTAGTTTCCGCACATTGGCATCAAAGTCTACACAGAGCACACCAGTGCCTGCTTTCGAACACAGCTGCTGGTGTGAATGGGCCCTGAGCCATTGGGCTTTGTTATTACATTCTCCAATCAGTTATTCTTGTTGTTTCTCTGTTGTATGCCTTTAAGCCAATGATAACACTTTCCCTTGCTTACTCTTTTCCAGCTAATCACTGTGAGCCACTGTGTGAGTTCATGAAGTTGGCCTTCCCTATAATAGACTGGTGCAGAGAGCTGCTGTTTCCATCAATACCAGTGTCACAGGCTTCAGGGTTCTTGTGTGCTTCTGTTTTCCCCCCTGCTTAGGCAGAGAGCATGCTGTGAGGGTCTTCTATTGCGGGTTTGCTGAAAGATTAGACAAATTATTACTATGTAATGCAAGTAAAACAAAGCTTAGCATTGTTTATTTTCATATATATTTATATTTATATTCAAAATCAATATAAAGATATTCTTTGGATATCTGTGAAAGCCTGTTGGTATGACGGAATGCAGCTTATGCACATATGAGGATTGGAGCAACTACACCTTGTATGGACAAGCAGAGGGATATGTCTCAAAATGAGAACAGATGTCCGTAGATAGTATCTCCATCTTCCTGAAGACTGCAGTTCCAGCTTGTGAGAAGCTAAGTGACCGTTGGACTCTAGTGCCTTCACTTTAGAGCTTGTCGCAGCCTTACAGCAGATGCGGGCAAAGAGAATCCTGTTCAATGCTTTGCAAAATATTTTAGTTATTCATCAAGGTGAAAGGTCAAGATATTTGTTTTAACTATGCATTTTATTTTTTATTTCTTTTTGTTTTGCCAAGCCATATTGAATTGTGTTAGTACATAGAGGCATTAGGAACTAACAGTACAAAACCAAGTTTTACATGTGTGTTTATTTTGTATTGTATTGCCTTACAGTTTTTAAAGAGCGTTAAGTTAACGGACATATAAAATATGTATGCACTGTGTGAACTTGTAAATTATTGTTAGAACACTTTTTTTTATTGGATATGGCTTTGTTCTTTTTAGTGCCTTATTTCAGTCATTTTACTGCCATGTTTTAAGGGTCTGGGCACAAAATGTAGCTTCCCGAAAGTGAAACCATTTCTCATGTGCCGGTTTTAGGTGCCTCCAAGTAACATTTCCACAAGTAGCGGGAGATTGAGATACCAATTTTAAAGAGAAACCAGGAAAAGGGAACGAGTAACCCTAAAACTGAGATTACATACATGCTTGTATAATGCACATGATCACCATTGGGTTGTAAGAAATTCCTGTTGCCTGAGGGCTGCATGGATATATTGAGCCACAACACAGATTGATCCAGACTATAGCTGCTCAAATTATAATATAATCTTTCACAGGTCACACGACCGTAATCAATTATTGGGTGGCATACTTTGGCTTGGAGTGTTGTGGAGTACATTTAAGATCTCAAAATGTGATCTGACAGATGCTGTAGGCACCTTCTGTATGTAAAGAGTTCCATCACTTCTAGTCAGTGGGCAAATGTCCATTATGTGACCATGTAAGTGTATATGTGCCCTAAGAGGTGACTAAATATATTGAGATACCTGTTTTACATTCCTCATAGTGTCCCAACAATTTCCAGGGTTTTAAACAGCTGATGTGCTCCATATTGGAGCAGATTAGCCTTTTAGCCATCCAGTGGAGATTTTGCATCCAAGGGACTAATCCGGCCTTTTGCAGGCTCCCTAGTCAGCTTCTACATCTGTCTGGCAAGAGAGCTTTAAAGGCAAGTCTCGAGCTGGCCCGACAAGAAGGGGTGGCCTTCCTTCTATTTGTTGGTTACATGCTAATGCCCATTTCTTACTGTTGTAGTTATGTAACCACAGCTATTTGGAAGATATCTTTTGTAAACCATTGCTATTTTTTTTTATTTTTGTCCAATAAAATTTTATAAGACGTGTCATGTGATTCCTGTACAATCACTGATCTAAACTACCTGATGAGGTTTGTGTTTTAAATTATGCTGAGCATATGTGCAGTTGAAAGCATTAAAAACATAAAATGAAAAAGAAAAAAAAAAAAGTTTCACATTTTTATAAATTCTTGATAATATAGGGATTCTAATATAAATGTTCCTGCTTAATAGCAGAGACAAATTAAGGTATGGGCAATAATGGTTTCTTTTTTATTTTTTACCAAATACCTCTCCAGTAATTTATAATGGCTTTGCAGTTATATGTATTAAAAATAGAAAAAAAAAAAGCACTGGAAAACTGGTTCTTCTGAAGGCAATTTGCATGTTTCAAGTGGTATTGAAATCCGCACTGATGGATATGTAATAATAAACATATCTGTTATTAATATGCTAATGACTGTGTGATCATTTGGAAAAAAAATAAAACCTATTTATAGAAATTCTGTTTCCAAAGGATTATTGATGTGTACTATGGAGGATTATTGATGTGTACTATGGAGGATTATTGATGTGTACTATGGAATTCCTACACGTATATCTTAAAGTGGATCTGAACTCAAAGTGGAGATTTGCTGTTATAGGAAACATCTAGAAATGTTGTGTTTTTTTTTGAGTTTTCCTAAAAAAATTACCTTTTTCTAAAAATTCCACCTGGTAAGTGAGGATGTCTAGGCAATCCAGTAAATAGAAGAACATACAAGAGTTTCACAAACTAACGCAATAAAAGATGGATGAAGAAGGATAAGGAAACAATGATGTTGCAGTCACTTGGAAAAGAATGCAGATATCAAACGTAACATTAAACCACATTTGTTCCTCTATCAGGATTCGGGGAATAGGAACGCTGGTCAGGAAGCAGGTAGCACATCTGGGGATCCGCAGTGGTGGTTTAATGTTACATTTGATAACTGCATTCTTTTCCAAGTGAGTGCAACATCATTGTTTCCTTATCCTTCTTCGTCCTCCTTTTTATTGCGCTAGGTTCTGGTGCTCTTGTTTGTTCTATTTTCAGCTACCTTGCAGGACACCTGCACCTGCCTACTCAGAGCTGCACTCCATCAGCCTTCCAGATCACCCTTATACACATCACCCGGAGTGCGTTTGGTACCTATTTACATCTAGGCAATTGTGTGCTTATAGCCTTATATCTACAGTGTGAGATCTAAGGCACTGCTGCCTGTGACTGCTAATCTCAGGAGGTTTGGAGTGAGATCTGGTGATGTCCCTACTGTGCTGCTCACTGTGTTCCTTGCTGAGAGCTGTCATGAGGAAGTAAGATCCTGCCTCTACCAAGAGTTGGCCACTTCCACACACAGACACCCAGCAGAACAAATGGAAGATGGTTACAGCATACCGAGGACCACGTTGTCAAGAATGGCCATACCATCTTATGTGGTTTAAGAGATCTAGATGAAGTACATAATTGTTTTGCACACTACAAGAAGTCCAGCCTGGTGATTCACTAACTTGTGCCACGCTGCATAGCAGCAAGATAAGTCTATCATGTTTCTATCTGTCCCCAAAAAAGGGTATAAAATTCATTTCAGTACAGCGCTGCATGACGGAATAAATGTCAGTCAAAGTACCGCAGCGCTGAATACTGAAAAATGGCCTGGATGGGAAGGGGGTTTAACACCGCGGATGTCAACTGGTTAACAGCACCATGTCTAACTTGCCTGACCATTGGACCGAGGCAGTGATGTGCTTTCATTTTCCAAGAAGTAGACCGGAGATGATGTCACTGGATGCAGCCAAACCAAACCAGGAAATAGGGTTGTCACTTGCTTGGCAGTGTAATAGGATCGAGATATAAATAAAAAAATACCGTAGCTGACGTTACTGGTAACAAGCATCAATTAGACTCCTATCTACCTTGGAAGTATGAATAGGAGTAGTGATGAGGGAAGCATAGAAAGGGGACATTACACAGCTGAGTCTTGGGGAAATACTTGTTTACTACCTTCAACTGACAGGTGCATGTTTTGTGGCAGTAGTGGATTGCAAAGTAAGCAAAATTGATTGATTTTATTGGAGCTGCAGTGTGTTTTGGAATGCATTAGGAGCTCAAAGACTAGGGGCAGGCTTCATACAATACAGTTCTAGCAGACTGAAAGTATGACTGCATTTTTCACTGTAAATTATACATTTGTATTTATCCCTTATAATAATGTTGTGATGGATTACAGTTACAGAAGATAGGTCTCATCTTCAGCAGCACGAGTATAAGCTGTTCTGCTGTGGACAAGTTGCTTCTTAAGACATGCAGTTCATTCAGCATAATGTAAAGCAAGTCTCCCATCTCTGAACAGCGCCCTCTAGTGGTGCCCAACAACAGTCCAGAGATGTAAACACAAAGGCCATACTGCTGGAAGCAGGACTTGTTTTAAAGTGACACTAAACTCAGGAGTTAAATCTGAAAAATGCATTCAAGTACTGGGATGGACTATAATCTCAAAATACATTAGTAAAGAAAACGTGAAATTGTAGTCCATCACAGGAGTGAGCTTGGAGCGGGGGCTACTATACAACACACACAGGGAACATGGGGAACAAAAGTAGCCACCCTCCAGAAGGACAGAGTCAGCATGAATTCAGAGATGATTTGAGGATCTACAGCCGGGTGATAAACAAAAAAGATACATTTTTGTTAGTAGTGAAGATACTTGAATGTATTTTTTATATTTTAGCTCCTGAAATAAAAGTAGCAACCTTTGATGGAAAGGTGTATGGGCAGACATTTTCTAGAACTAGGTTTTTGACCCCATAAATGTTGGGGTCAGGATAATACAAAGAATATGAGTTTATTTTTTTATATATACATAGAATGAAGCAAATCTTGCAACCTTGTTCATCCCAGCAAATGATGCAAAAATATTCCTATTAATATGTTGGTTAAACCACTGTCCATCTGCATGAAATTCCTTCCTTAGGAATTTGGCAGCTTTCCAGTACCTGCAGATGAACTACACCCAGGGGACCAAACCACAGCTCTAAAATATCAAATAACTTAAATTCCTTAACCAGCCACTGAGAGTGTTCTAACAGGAATATTTCACATGTGTTATATTTTTAGGGAGCAAATAAAAACAAACTTTGAACTTGAGAAAAGGACAGGGTGTGACGGCTTAATCAGTAAATGCCCAAATATACACACTGATGCGGAAACTGCTGGACTGTTGATAAGCACACATTCTAGGTGGTTATGAAGTATACCCGGAAGTATTTTTGATATGTTTACATTTTATTAATCTCCAGTGCCGTATACAATATTTGTATCATTGTATTTCATGTAGAGAATTGTACAGATTGTAGATTCCCCCTCTAGTTGCTGTACGTATGTGATGCCAGTTTACTAATCACTCTTGCAGAGTAACTTCCAGAGAATTTACAAGGACTTCTCAAATGTAAGTGTTGCTTCAACCATTCATTCTATCAGTAGTAGCGCTCTCAATATATAGGTTGTCTTCTTGCAGAGTAACAGTTGACATAAAACCAATCTTACCTAGACCAGGGGTAGACAACCTTGGTACTCCAGTTGTGGTGAAACAAAGTCCCATGAGGCATTGCAAGACTGAGATTTGTCGTTTCACCACAGCTGGAGAAGTGGAGATTGTAGTCCATCACAGGAGCGAGCTTGGCGCGGTGGAAGTAAAAAAAAAGTGTGGTGTGCAATATAGTACATTACACAGCGGCGCAGTGCAGAATACCAGCAGCTATAGAGGAATACAGCAATAGTAATTATACTATAATGTATTATTGCTGATGTATTCCTCTATAGCTACACCCGTCATGTGATCGGCCCGGCTAGATGTAAGGAGCGCCGGGATTGGAGGAGATTGAAGAAAATAGGTCACCAGCACTCCATAAGTTAAAATGAATGAGTCCTTTTAATGGACAATGATGTCACAGAAATCCAACATGAGCCGACGTTTCGGGGCCACACAGGGTCCCTTCTTCAAGGCAAGAGATGTGTCCCTTCTTCAAGGCAAGAGATGTGGGATTGGAGGAGAGCCAGGAGCTGGGCCGCCGCGGCGTGCGTGTTCGGTGGGCGTGGCATGCGCTGCGTGCGGGGCTTGAGTGTGGAGCCGCGAACAGGCAAGGTAATAGCCGAATAATCGACGATCTAAAACGTTGGTAACGTTTTCGATCGTCGATTTTAATCGACTAAATCGAATCGTTGTAGCAGCCTTTAAGTGCAGTTGGAACTCCTGGGCTATTTTCTTGTTAAAGTCAGTGGTTTAGATTTCAGAGCAGG